TTGCTGCTCCCTGGGGCAGATCACTCATGCTTAGACTCTTAGTTTTCCCTGCAGTTCTACGTGACTGAGGATGCATTATGCTAAAGTATTTTTCTAGTTCTCTCCAAACATACACTTTTCCCATTTCTTGCCTAATAGAAATCTATCCTGCGTCAGTTAGCTTCCATAGTCTTTCCAAAATATAATAATCATCCTTTTAAGCAGCTTTTTGCCATGGCTGTAGAGCCAACACAACACCTGAGACCTTCTCCTGCTAGGTCACTTATGTGTCAGACTAATTTTTCATCTCTCCTAATTTTCTTACACATCCATCTGCAGAGAGAGATTGGCACGAGGTGCGCAGGGACCTGCCTGCCCTGCGGAGAACAGCGATGCAGGGACCCCTGCCTTAATAATGCAACCCGCAAACGTACCAACTCAGGCTGAGGTGCACCGCTCACCACCACTACTCCGAGGTCTAGCGCTGGAAGAGCCGCCCAAGTCCCACGGAAACTTGCTTTGGTTAGGGCTCACCCTAAGTAAACCAGACACGTTCAGCTGGAACACCTGGGCTGACCCTGCCACCATCCACAGCTCACACAGACACACACATCAGCCCTGGGACAGGCTTCCCCCAGCTCTGCGGCAGGGCTGCAGGAGGATCTCCCGAGCTCACTGACTCGCTGAGTTTTGTCCAAATACAGTCTGGTCTTCAGCTTGGACTGGCTCCTAGCAGTAAATCGGCTGCAAGCACACTGTTCCCTCTTCCCTGTGCTGTGCTCTCATCCCCCTGGGAAATCAGTATATCAAGGCTCAGTTTACTTATGTTTGCTATTTTCTGTTTAAAAGACGATGCAAGAATGCAGTCCAGTGTCCCTGTGTCCAGTACCGCAAAGCAGGAGGAATGGGGATGCGAGTGATTCCAGCCCTATACCTTCCCCTCACCCTCACCTCCCAGGTTCAGAAATACTCACTTTGAATAGACTCCTTTTCTGTAGTGCATGAAGTTACCCGTCACCTCAAAGGCAAAGCTCACCGGGTTGTGCTTCCCCACAGCTTCCACCATGCCATCCTCATCATACTGCAAGAAGAGGATCCCAGGGTCAGTTTTTTCCCGATTACACTGGGACCAGTCAGGATCCCCGGACCAGCAGTCAGAGCACAGTGGGGATGGCTAACCCTGGCTTTCTGCTTGCAGACAAGGAAACAAGTGCTGCTCACATTGAAAGGCAAGAACCAAGACTTTCTTACAGTCTGAAGGTGCACCCACTGTGGAAAGCAGGCAGAGACCTAGTGCCTGTGTTTTGACTATAGCACTTCATTGGTGCCATCTTCAGAAAAGGGCGTCAGCGGTGCGCAGGAGAGGAGGAGTGTGCACGCCAGCAGCTCGCTCCACTCCAAAGAGCAAGCAGGCTGCAGCTTGCACTGCAGAGCCTGGCACACCTCAGGGCATCCGAGCACCTTCCAGGTCAGGCTTGGCACAGCCCTGGAAGTTTGGAAACATAACCCTTGCGGCCTTACCTGTGTGATATTGATAACATCCTTGACAAACGCAATAGCCTTCTCTGGCTGGAACTTGCACGTGCCATTCTGTGCAGACAGAAAGGAACCGGTGTTAGAGCCTGCTCTGGACCCTGCTCTGCCGCTGCAGAAATGCGTCTGAGCTGCACTGGAAATACCTCGGCCCGGTACGGATAGGTGTCCTCCCCCATGAGCCCTTTGTTATACAGTATGTATTCAAAGGCTTGGCTTGGCAGGCCCCTGCAAGACAACACAGCCAGAATGCAGATTAATTAGGATGGTAACACAGCTTCTGCAGAGCAAAGCCACCAACCTTTCCCCCTAGTCCTGCAGACTGTTCCCACAAAGCAGGGGGAAAGGGAAGGACAGTGCGTATCCCAGACCCTCCAAAGGCATAAACTCCAGTCTGTTCCTGCAATATCTCCCTGTCTGGGACTCCCGGCCTGGCCCATCACACTTTTGTCATCGTCCTACACAGGCACGGGAGACCTCATTCGCCGGGGTGCCTAAACCCCGGGGGAAAACGCCAACACAGGAGCCACCTCGCCCACACAGCACCAGCCAGCTCAGCTCTGCAGCCTCGCGCACTGAGAGGTGTTTTTCCATGACCTCTGCCCAGCCTGGCCGGGGTCCCCAGCTACACAGCACAGTGGAGGACAAGGGACCCACACCTTCAGCAAGCAGCTGCTCCCTTCCCTGGCCACCTCCGGGGAGCACATCCCACAGAAGGAAGAAAAGGGGAGCGTGATCAGGGCGTGCTCACAAGGAGGGGACTAAGGAGGAGTCACGAGAAAAATAAAAAGCACCAAGAGTGGTTTTGCTCAGCTCTCTGAAACATTCCTCAGAGACCGCTTATCTTACAGAAAACATAAGTTTCAGAAAGCTTTATTTTCTGCCTTCTCTAGCAATGCCAGTAGGAATTTACCAAAGGGGAAGCAGAGGTTTCTGTGGCTTCCTTAAAGCACCATGAGATGCGCATGACCCATGAGCAGAGCGACAGATAAAACTCCCCTTGTTTTCCCTGAGCATGTTAAAGCCTAGCTTCGTAGCACCCGTGACTGCGGTATCAGAAGACATTGTAACAAAACAAGTATCAAAAGAAAAACTAATAAACAAGAGGAACAACAGAGGTTAGGAAATGCTGGAGATTTAGTAAAACATTCTAACCTCTAGGGAGGGTGAAATTAAAATAAGCAAACCAAACCAAACCCAAAACTGTTTCTCTGACACGTCTCAGCCAAGGGGAAACAAAAACCATTCCAAGATCTGGAGGGATCCCAACACTAAATCTTGAGGAAGGCTGTCAATTATGGAACATAAGATACTCTTATTTCTATTCTTTATTACTTTATATTACTTACCCACTGCAGCCATGGTTGTTAAAAGCTTGAGCGCAATCAACTAACTGTTGTTCCGCCTACGGAAAAGTTTTTTGAGTCAGTATATATTCAACACCTTCATTTGGAATAAGTGAGATAAAATGCAACCCGCGCAGCAGGCAACCGAGGAGCGCTGCTTTTACCCGTGCAGCTGGCTGTTCACCCGCTGCGAGCAGGAATCACCCAGCTGAACGGCTCCACGTCCCGAGGAGCAGGACGAGGAAGACAGGGAGACGGCAGCCCAGGATGCTCCGGCTGCAAGAGGCATTCCTCCTCATGCCTGCCGGGACATCGTCCCACCCGTGGGAGCGCTAGCTGAGATCCCTTTCAAAGGTCAAGTTTGTTTTTAACACTTACACCCAGCCCTCAGCTATTCTGATAAGTCATATAAACCGCTACTGTCTTTCTGGTTCTTCAAGAATACAAATCGTCTAAGAGTTTAAAAATAAACAGTCTCACAACGTGCTGCTTACAGCAAGCTGTTTTGCAGCAAGGAGCTCCTGCTGGCTGGCAGCACCAGACACGGCTCTAGCTGACCATGCCTGCTCCCAGCGGCAGGGACCCGTCAGCCTCCGGCCCCTCCAGTTTTGTCCTGCTCCGAAAAGGGCTCTGCCCAAGCCCAGGGCAGCAGGACACTCGGACTCCGAGAGGGGACGCGCACAGCCTTGGGCACAGAGAGCTCCCTGCCACGCTGCCCCGCGCCTCCCCCAGCAGTTCTGCTTGGCTTGCAAAGAGCTGCAAGGGGCCTGCAGGGCTGGGGGTACCTGCCACAGCCGCACACAGC